AAGTTTAATTTTTTGACTCATTTTTTCTCTACATACTATATGAGGGATATCCAACAAATAACGATATGGATTTTACGATCTAATTATTTTTTGACAAATTTAAAAAAAATAGAAAAAGAATTTTTTATTAATTTATTTTTACACCATTTAATTTAGCATTAAAAATAATATGAAAGTATATATTTTCAAAATTTTTAATGAAAGATTGCCGATAATTGATTTTTGAATGCCTTCCCTCAAGTTAAACATCTTTTAATTTAAAAAAATAATTTGCCTTTAAAATTAATGCGAATGTAGTGGGCAATTCATGCGACTAATTGAATGTTTAAAAGATTGCTCTTAAGGCATCGAAATATTCTCCCTTTTTCTCTTTATCCCTGATAAGAGAAAATAATATAGCTTTGCGTCATTTTAGTGACGTTTTAATTTCTTTCGTAAAGTGAATCGCGGGCGCGGCGAGGTGCTTTCACTGCAACGTATCTAAAAAAAAATTCAACATCGTGCATGAATTTAGTATAGAAATTATAAAAACGTTTATTTAACATTGATGGGGGAAGACAAGCAAATTAATTTCTCTTGAAGAGGAATATTTTTCACATATTACACGTATCTACAAAAATATGTGTGGAAATTCAGAAACAAAATAACATATAATATTTCCAAAATTTTTCATTTACATCGATATTTCTAAATCTGTCTTCTTTATTAAGTTAGAATAAAATGATATTAATAAGTTGCAAAAAACAGAAAAACATCTTTATTTATTTTGTAAAATAAATATTTCAATCCAAACAGGTTTTTTATTAATGACATTCACAAATCAAAGTAGAATTAAAAATTAAAAATATAATTATAAAAAATAAAAATAGTTAACAATGCGCAAATTATTCACATTACGTTTTAATTAGACATTATAATTAGAATAAAAGATTAATTATTTATCAAAAATTGTCTATTATCGCAGCACTTTTAGATTGTCAAAAGAGTTAAATTGATATATCTATGAATAACTGCACAATACATATCTAATAATTTAGATGTGAATTAAATCTTCGTTTTATACAGTCATTAATTGCATATAAATTTATTTCATTTTATACAGCCACTAAAAATAAATTTATGACTGAATTTATTTTAAAATGCTAGCTCGGTTGATAAAAATAAGCGATGCAATACGTAGCAGCAAAGCTTCTCTTTGAACGTGCATCTTCTTAATAACTACGATAAAAACTGCATAAAATGGTGTGAATCGGATTGTAAGCTGCTGGAATACCCGCTGGCGATTGTGACGAATAGGGAAAATGGCGTAAAGGATATAAGCGCTTTAAGAAGACATTATATTATACTTATTGTCTCAAGAATATGCCTCTAAGTAACAATTCCGGTTATGAATACCGAATTATATAGATCCTTCGAAGAAATTAGAAACAAAGGCGCCGAGGAGTCTGTTTCCTGTCTACTGATGACGCGCACATTCACCATTAGTGATCGTCTTTGTTCGTTATTAACTTTTTATTACGTTAAAAGAGAGAAACTTACTATGACAGCTGAAAATGTTACATAGCGGAATTGAGTTATAGTAAATGATGAAAAAGTATATAAAATCAATTTTTGTTTTATTAATTATGACGTTATAAATTTCAAAAATAAGGATATCATGGAAAGTTTTATGTGCTTTTCTTAACAATAATTTTATAAAATAAGTTCTATAATTATTCAGGTCGAATAAAAATTATGAATGTTATATCTGCGAATTTAGAAAAAGACACGCTTCTTGTAACATTTTCATTTGTCATTTAATGGTAACACAGTGACAAAATTATTCCATTGACAATAAATTGAAGCGACAAGTAGAAATTTTGTAACGAGAGCGATAGACAGTTTCGTTTAATATCCAACAAATTATGCTGTTTATTCAGTGAATCGTTCCTTAACTCTTATATATCGTCGTGAACGTGAATTGTTTTACGTTTTTTAATTAATGATGCATTTTATCGCAGCACCTTATCAGCAATTCATTGCACCGAAATTGTGACATAATTTTTATATGTTCATGGATACGAATCACCTCGCATTCTCGATTATTCACACCTGCACTTTATCGCTTTGATACGATTTGTATGACTATCAAATTAATCAGAATGTACTGCGATTTTGTTATTCATGATTGCCGTTCTGATCGAATTGCAATTGTGACTCGCGCGTATGTTAGGTATTGGGGCCTTGAAACATTAATGTGTTAAATATCGTAACCCGCATATAGCGAGTAGAAATGGTCGCTTATCTTAATTAACATTGGCAGGTATTGGAAAAATGTATGAACTATATTATGCTATAACTTGTCAAATCAATATGACGATCGTAAAAGAAAGCAAAGTATATAATATACAGGTATAATTTTATGGCATTAATTGAATCGATATATTTCGAATACTGTATATCAAAGCACAATTGTCATGAACTTTCAATCCCAAACCATTTTTATTAATTAAGAAAACAAAATTAGAAACGTAGTACAATAATAAGAAAATGTTCGGATAAAAGCGTATCAACAATAAGAGTATCCATCGATATTCTTTATTTTTATTTTATTTGTTTTTCTGTATAATGTAAATCTGCTACAAAATATAACGTAAAATATAATGAATATAAAATTCCAAAATAAAGTAAATTTATGTATAAACATAATTTTTTCGCTATTTGCAATATCATTTATCCTATATGATATCCTGTCGGCGTATACATTTGTTCATACTACTTGATATTGCGAGAAGAACGAACGCAAGCATAATCGCGAAAATAAATTTACTTTCGCGTTATATTGACACTTGACTAGTCTCATCTATGCTTTTCGCTGAGATCTACATAAGCATTAATTATTCCTAATTGATTGATCGGATTCTTACAGTTGTTACATGGATCTTTTTCGAGGATATCTCGAAGAGAAATCCGAATCTGTAATATTAAATAAATATAACTATAACGTTGGTAGAGATCGCACTTTATCACAAAATATCACAAGAAGTCTTGTCTTATTATACTTATACTTTGTTAAATTCCTAGATTTTTATGTAAATCACATAACGATGATAAAAATTTAAAAAAAGGAAATGGGAACGTGAACGTTCTTTCTTTGGAAATGAGTTTGTAGGATGTTCTAGTATTGCGGTGAATGGAATTGTTACATTATAGATTGTGAAATCAACGTTTGCTTGTGTACAAATCCCGCATAAGCAACGGTGATTTTCGTCAGAGAGATTGCGATTCTTAAGAATAACCTTTCGTGCTCCGCGGATTGCATTGATATCTCACAGTATTTCTGCGTGTGCATGGCTGCTCCTCATTCGCCGTAATTGTACTAAATGTGCCTTTACAGTCATCACGCATGTCTTGGCAATGAAGTATATAGTTTGTCTCAAATAAATCCATGATCTATCTTAATCTTGCCTGCAATTACTATGATTAAATCTCAGTAATGCGATCATTATGTTGGCGTCAGTGTGACCCCGATAAGTAAAGGGTATCGCAATTTTATGAGAACAAAAATTCAAAAATAATTGTATTTGTTGAGATAGAGGAAGAGCGAGAGAGATGTTGTCTTTGATAAAAAAATGTGGTGAAAACGTCTACATAAAGTCTACGAAGATATCAGAAAAGGTTAAAATAAATCTTTATTTTTTTCCGATACTTTGTGACATATCTATATTTTATTTGTTTTACTTTGTAAAATATTTATATTTTATAAGATAAAGAGAAAAAATTCAAAAATGCTTTTGATAAAAGGCTAAGATCTTATTACCTCATACAATAGTTAAAAATGATTGTATCTACGCTGAGAAAAAAATATCCTAAATTTAATAAATATTTATGTGAATAGTACCAACTAAATATTTGTTAAATATAAAAATATATTTATTTGGTACAAGAAACATTAATTTGATTTAACAATCACTTCTTTTTATTAAATAAATATTTATTTATTGTATGTAAATGTTTAGTTGGCAGTATTTAAATAAATATTTATTTAAATTTAGGCTTTTTTTTCTCAGTGTAGATACAATCATTTTTGTATCTACACTGTACACAATTATATATGTGTTTAAAGAAAGGGTATATCAAGAAAAAAAATATATATATATGTATACTCTCTCTTTCCCAAATATTAAAACTTCAAAATACGCATACAAGATTTTTTGCGATGAGTTGAAAGATCTCTCTTTATATTTCATAAAAAAGCTAAATAATGGAACCGCTGTAATTTTTGACAGTGTGCATTCGGTATATTTCACTCGTAAAAACCAAGCAAAAATGTCAAAGTTAAAAGATAAAAAAAGAATTCCTGATTTTCCCGACAATAAGGTAATATCTTACGACACTAAAGTACCTAGTAATTTTTTATAAGAACTAAGAAAAAAGATGAGCCTCAGGCTATCGATAGAAGCGCATTCGGAGGAAATCTACTGCAACTGTATCTTCCACCCTTATGGTCACCCTTCATGCTACAATAATGAAAATCCCCTTGCACTTTTGTGAGAATGTAATTTATGAGCCATTTGTATCCGAAGCGTGTGCGTCCACTCTTGCAGCTGCAACAATGACGTCTCTATCTCTCAGTCGCGACTTTTCATTTCAGTTTTGCACGAACAAAATTCAATCCCTTCTCTCCCCTCCTCTCGCTCTTTATCCTTTTATACCTTTTGGGTGGAGACCGCGATAATGATAGTGACGTAAAAGGATACGGTGCCAGAATACGCACCCTCATGTAGACAAGCAGGAGGACGAGCAGAGGAGGAATGCGTACATCCATCGGTGACGGTGGTGGTGGATACGTGGCGCCCACCAGAGAGAGCCGATCCGCTCTCGCTCTTTCGCGGGCTCCACGAAGAACGGGGGGATAGGAGAGAGTAGAGGGTGGGAAAGAGGCGAGAGGGATGAGAGAGTGCTAGAGAGATAAAGAGAGAGAGAAAGAGAGAGCGAGCCCGCGGTATAAATGTAGCCCGCGCGAGTACCACCAATCATTCGCCCTCTGACCTCGAAACTCTCAGAGCTCTTTCTGATCTCTTCTGGCTGTTTCACGGTACCAAAACGTACCCCCTGCTACTAACCACCATACGACGAGAATCATCCCTACTACACGGTCCACTGATCGCCTGACGATAGTCGTCATTCGTAACGAGATCCGCGACTTGTGAAGAAGAGGAAGAGAAAACTAAACGCGGGCCCCCGAAGACAGACGGAACCGGACCAGTGCTACCGTGATTACACAGCTAGAGACAACAAAGGGAAAGGTTCCTTCATCAGCAAGATGACGGTCGTGAGTATCGTTCATGAATAATTAAAGTCATTGACTAATGTATACTCTACGAGTAGAGCGCGCTTTCTTTCTCTTCGTCTTTCCTTCTGTTTCTTTTTTTAATCGCGTTTCACATCTCATTTTTTTCTCTGTAAAGATGAAAATTTGTAGAGACACAAAAACCGGCTGAGTCGAGTGTTTAAACGTAAACGATATATATTTCTTTTTTTTCTTCTTTTACTAACAGCATAACAAAGCGAGGAAAAATTTATTCTCGTAATCGTGGCAATTTATTTTGACAATTGAGAGTAATTTTCGTGGATTAGAGAATAAAAAGTGAATGTTTCGCAGACGGGAAAAATTTTCCGGCGACGCAAAAAAGTGCGACGTTCTTGTGCTCTCTATTTTTTTTAGACAGCTTTCCGTTTTAAATTTAATAAATAAGATTACAGAGCAATTTGTTAAAACACTCGCGATTTAGTAACGCCGGGTTGTGTAAAGGTATCGGTATTAAAAAGTTATAAAAAGCTTGGTAGAGAGAAGTTCGGGAAGCGGCTTGTTTATAGAAGATTACCTACAGTCGTTGATCGCGTTGTGGACCAGACGCGGAATATACGGCGCTCGGGATACGTTTTCGAGTTTTAGTTTCGTATCCGCAGCGAGATAGCAATTGAAACCGAGGACGGAAAAGTACATCTCGTTCCGCTGATGCACCGTAATGTACATTCGCGTGAGATGTATGTGTTTTCGCACAATTTCTGAATTAGTGCTATCGAGCCACCACTCGATGGTGAATATATCGATGCCGTTCCAAATTATTTTCGCAGTAACAAGAAGAAAAGTAGAGAAAGAAAAAAGCTTCCTCAATAACAATTTAGACGTGAGATTTTCAAACTAATTTCTATTCCCGCGATGACGCACAAGGTTCGTGTCCCATCTACCTGTTCCACCTATTCACGTTCGTATCCACGAGGATGTGTTGAAAATGTTGAAATATTTCTTTCTCTTTCAACATTTAACAAACTGATATTTACAAATAATAAATTTTGAGGATGATAGAAGTACTGCAGAATCTCAGATTGAAACAAATCTATTCTTTGCATAAATATATTTGCTTGGATATTTCTTTGCATCGCGTTTATGATCGAAAGAGTTACATTAAAACGGTTCTGTCATGGGGTTTACAACACTTTTGCGAATTGAGTCATGTCAAAAGTAAAAACTGACATAAAATGGATATTGATTGAGTCAGACTTCTGACAATATGCGTCATCGCGTTCACAGCAACAGTTTGTCGAATAGGCTACAAGTTTGACATATCATCGTCGTTGTAGCAATGTGTACTATAGTATGCGAAATGTCATGTTTCACTGTCGTGAACATGTTAAACTGAATAAAAAATGACGAATTATTGCTCAATTAGAAATGTAGTATATAGCATTTTAGAAAAAACGCTACACTTTAAAATTTATGATATAAAATAATATAACAAATGTATTATTTATAATTAAAACGTTTGAGGCATCTTTAAAAAATATCATCTTAAAAAGTTGCATCATATATATCAACTATTAAATTATATTAATAATATATATTAATATGTATAAGATAGATAAGATAGATAAGATTATATTAATTTATTAATAAAAATATTCAATGGAGTCGTAAATAATTATTTGCTAAATTAACTTTATATTTATAGTATTATCGAGAATTAGTCATACGTCACGCTTTCCAAGCATTTTGCAAGAGAAAATCTACTTTTATCATGAAAATCTCGTTCGCGTTTCTTGGTCACGTATCAGAATTGTAAGTTAGTTTTGCGAGTTGGATATACTGTATGTGTATTGTCAAGTAGAACTAACGAACCGCGTACGCATATCAAAGGGCAAATGTAACTGTTGCGGATGCTGGAGACATTACGTCTGGTCCTAGTAGTCGCCAGAGAATGCATAAAGTTTCTTTATTCGTTGCCAGTTAGATACATATGTATATGGTGACCGTGAACGAAACGGCGATTTCGTGATTTTGTGATAAGTGTTTTCATTTAACATTAAATTTCCGACGATACTCTCTTCACCAAGTTAAGTTTTTTTTCTTCTAGGATAATAATTTCTTAAGCACCTTCATGTTAATCTATTAATCGTAGAATGTCTCTATTGCGTGTGTTATTATCGGTACAAATCAAACAGTAAACTAAATTAAAACGATAAAACATCTAATGATGTAGACGCAATAAACAAAAATGGATCAATTTTACGATTTGGCGTGAAGTAATAATACTTGACTCTATTCTGGTTGAGACAGAAACAAAAAACTCGAAAAGATTTTTTTAGAAAAACATTTTGACGATCCGGTTGACCGACATTTGAGAGGAAACAATTTCTTTCGACCGAAGCGAGTGGACATTTCAGTAAATATCATTCTTTCTTACCTCTTATTTCTGATATTATCGCCACATCACATGTATAAGATTCGGTGCAGATAATTCGTATCTACAGGAATTGTTGAAGAATTCACGGGCAAACCCTTTATCAGGGTGGAGCGAAACAATGCCGAAGGATAGAAAAAGAGAGATATATCTCGTGGTAATTAATGAATGAAGGATCGTGAGGAATGGGAATTTCCCGTCACCATGAAATTTTGATCGCGTCGTGATGATAAAACGGGAAAAAACGAATCGATGGATGACTCGGTGACAATTGGTGACAATTCGTGACAGAGCAGGAGGGGAGCATTGAAAGAAGCGTACGAAGACGCTTTTTGTGTGCCACCAGACGGAGAGACGCCAGAACATCCCATATCCACGAGCGAGCAGTCCGCTGGACCCTCTCGTTCTTCTCGCGTGCACCCTCTTCCTGTGTGGGGGGGTTTCACTATCCTACCTCACTTCCGATTCTAACATTTCTCTCTCTCTCTCTCTCTCTCTGCTCGATCTTATTTTTTTTCAACATCTTTTTCTTTATTCGCGTCTCATGCTTGCTCGTTTTTCTCCTCCCTCGATAACGCCTACGCTAATGCGTATCGTTAACTCGCTAATAAAACCGCGATTGAACGAATCTGCCTTATGATTACTTGGCTGAATTAAATTAGGGGATCGTTTATCAGCATGAAATCATCGAGAAAAAACTGCGATGATGTCCCATTTTTATTTCTATTTTTTTAAGAGAACGTCGAATAATTGTAAAGTATTTATGAATCGTGGATGCAGTAACGCGCTTTGTACTTGCTGTACTTACTATTTCCAGGTCTCTTTGCCCTCTGTCTCTTTTATACACATTAGGTGACGTAAGATGTCAGATGAAAGCGTACTTTTATGCAAAAGTTGAGAATTCGAATAGAGAATTCCTTTCATTCTCTTCTTTTTTCACTTCCGCAAATGTCGTAGCAAATACGAAGGTGGATTCAAGATAGGGTTGATTGAATTTTCAATATTTTATAGTGAATGTGCAGGACGTATATGATACCGAATAGTATCTTAAAAATCGATGCTTTGACAATTTTAAATAAAATGGAGGTCGTTTGTGCAAACTTTTTAAAATTTTGCATTAAAGTTCTTAGAAAAAGCTAACTGCAATCTCTGCTTCTCTAGTCTCTCACATTCTTTTGTTTTCAGCATAAAATTGTTTTTAAATTTCGAAGGATTTCTAAAATCTCTTCGTTGGAGGCGGATTTATCACAGATAGCAAATTATAGTCATTTTGACGTCGATAGTTAGTCGTTTTGAATTATTGACGTCATGTGATCTATTTAAGATATAATAATGACGTTATCTTTTTTACCAATTAATGACGTCATTTATTTATAACATATTTACACCGTCATACTTATTGACGTCAGATAAAGGATTAATCGACGATATATTGGTAACGTTATTTATAGTGATCAATTAATAATATCATTCATTTATGCCGATAATAATACGAAAATAATGCTGTATTTTTGATGTTGGTTAATATGACGTTATGTGGCTGTGACAAATATACATCACTTTTACGATGATAGGACGTCAGATTCGTTAAGAATGATCAATTAATTACGTCAAGTAGATATCTTGCTATCTGGGATATTACGCGATAAATTTTAACCCGCGGTTTCTTCTTTCAACAATAATCGTTGCAAAATAATTTGCGATACGTCACGTAAGTAAAGTCCGCACTTATAAGCGCAATTATAAGTTACCAAGCGTACCAAAAAAAAAAAAGAAAAAAAACCAATTCGTTACTATTTACGTGAGCGCAAACGTCTGAGAAACGATTAAATTCACTTAAGAAAGGAAATGTTGTTTTCGGAAACGAAATACGGGAGAAAAATTTATTTCTCTGGAGCTCTGCGGGAAATAAACCACCGTGACGACGGAAGATGAGCATAATGGCCTCGTAAATTACGCTACAAAGCGAAACAATATTGGCTGAGATCGCATCGCGAAGAGAAAAATATAATTGAACTTATGCGGCGCGGAAAACCTTCTTGACGTAACCCCCACGTGAAACGTTGGCATTTAATACCGCGAGTAACCCTGAAAACCGTATGAAATTGTATCAATTTCCACATACGCAACGTTTTGCTTTATAAATCCACTTTTGCAGAGCGCGTGTGACCCCACCATCATTAGCATGCACAAACAATGGATAAGGTTCCCTCGGAAATAACGAGTATTCGTACGATCTGTCGACCTTGGTAATTGATATCGCCACAAAGAAATAATAAGGGGGTGAATATATCGTGCGCGTAAAAAACAACTCCCTGTGCACATATCTATCCGATATTGAAGTCTGCAGACTTCGGAGAAAAAAACTTCGGTTATATAAAAAATGCAGCCGTAAAAAAAATTAATTTTTTATGGTTGTATTTTTAGTTTTCATTTGTGAATGAAAAATCGTAAATTGATTATCAGCATATTCTGGGATGTCATTAAAGAAAAAAAAGGATCAAGTTTTCTTAAGATTATATCATGATAAAATGTAAGTAAAATTTGGGTTGTAAATTAACTATAATAATAAGACTAAATATCAAAGAGA